GAGAGCAATTAGGGTCACATAACAATGTATGTATAAATTTTTGTATGGGAAACTAACTTGAAATGTAAACTTCATTTAAACTACAACAATAAAAAAACTATATATAAGACTGTATGCTGGACACAGAAAATTAAAATGGAAAGGCAAATTATAAAATGGCAATAAATAGTAACTTAAATGTTTATAAAACATTGCATGTACATAGACATACATACATATGAACAGAAAAAGACTAGAAGCAAATAGTTTGGAATGTTAATAGTGGTTATATAATGGAATTACATGTAATCATTTTCTTTTTTACTTTTCTGCATTTTCTAGTTCTTTTTTTATGACAATAATAAAGACAAACAATGAACATTAGCGAGTATTATTATGAGACCTAATAGACATTGTGGCATTTAACCCTCATAACACTATGAGTTAGATACAACAATTATCCCCGTTTTACAAATGAGAAAAGTAGAACTCAGAGAGGTTAAGAACTTGCCAAGGGTCACACAGTTGGCTTGTAACAAAGCCGGATTTGAATTCAGGCAGTCTGATGCCAAAGCCTACACAGTTAACCCCCAACTAAATACTGCTTTTGAATTGTTTCTGTAATCAAGAGAAACACACATATAATGCTAAAAAAAAAAAAAAAAGAAAGAAAATTGTAAATGTCTTATTTATGCCAAAGTGAACTCCTAGACCTAAAATAAATATAATTCCCACTGTTTCCTTGAGATAATACCAAAAATAAACCCCTAGTCCTGTACGAGGTCAACATGGTCATTGCGATTGCTAGTATCAATTGCCTTGATCACTAATTATAATAAGCTAATAGTTACTGTGCACCTACTATGTGTCAACCAAAACCCAAACCCGTTGCCATCGAGTCTATTCTGACTCATAGTGACCCTATAGGACAGAGTAGAACTGCCCCATAGGGTTTCCAAGGAGCAGCTAGTGGATTCAAACTGCTGACCTGTTGGTTAGCAGCCGAGCTCTTACCCACTTCACCACCGGGGCTCCACTATGTGCCAGGCACTGTTTTATAAATGGTAGCTATTGTCACTGTTATCATCTACTTTATTATTAATAAAAAGTTATAAACACATTAACTGGGAGGCCAAAAAATAAGCCCATTAGCAGCCGCCACATTCTCACAGAGTGGTTCATTCTATCAGCATTTCACAGAAAATATTTCAGATCCACAAGAGATTGGACAGAGGGGGGCTGATGGGGAGAGACAACCAGTGAAATCCGGTGCATGCAATGCTGTGATGATGGCAGACCCGAGTGGGATGTCATCCAGGGGTCAGTGTGGGGTTAGGAGGGGCCTAGGCTATGGGGATGGAGAGTGGGGGGCAGAAGCAGGAGTGCCTCATGAAAAGCAAAATAGATGAAAACATTGATTTCAACAGCCACTTGGTGCTGTTCTTTGAAAAACCAAGTGCTGTTGCTGTAGCAAATACAAAGGTGAAAATCCATGACCTGCCCTCAAAGAGCAGAGTATCACAGGGGAGTAGTCACGTAACTGACTCTAATCTAAAGCACTCGGTAAAAGGGAATTTGGGGATATGCTAAGATGACATTGTTTGTTTTACTGGTGTTTATGATGCAGGTGCTGATTTTAACATTTATGCACCTGTTTCTCACTATGAAAGTTTCACACCTAAAGGCATGTTGCAAAAATGTTTCAAAACAAAAAAGTTCCAGAAGGTGCGATTGCTCGGATGATTTTTAAATAAGTCATCTGAATTCCAGTATCTTTTAAAAAAAGAATGCATCCTTGTATTTTTAAAGTAGCCTTGACCAGCTATGAATAGATCTACAGTAAGGGCGTTTCTTTTTAATTACTAGGGACAAGAAAGGAAGGGGAGTTGCTGTCAGTTTAGAGACACAGCTGCATGAACTAGTCATGTTAACTGTTAGAAGAGCCACATTCCTGTCTGAAAAGACATGACACAGGCCACTACGTGGAGCCCACTCTGCAGAGGGAAAACCGTGCATCAGCGGGCTCTGCAAGCAATGAATGCTATGATCTGCGTCTAGATTTCCGAATTCTATGCTTGCATGTTTTCCTTCTGATATGACAAGTATCTTTCCCCA